AACACCGGTAGACTATTATTAGCTCTAAATATTCTGTAAAAACAATGAACAGCAGCTTTCAGTCTGTCACCATGATGCAAATATGAAATATCAGACATACAGTAGTGGTTCTTCAGTTTTTTTTTTTTATTCGCTTGCGCTGCTTTTCCAGTGTTTTTCTATGTAAACATGGACGCGTCTCTTGCAGCGTCTCATGCATGAAACGGCAGTCTAAAAACGCGGCTCTCAAGTTAAAAGAAACTCACTCCCATCTTTTTGCATGTTTTTCCGATTCCACCGCCTCTGTCAACAAAGCATTTTGTGTGAATGATGAGTGGTTAATCACATGCGCCGACATGCAGTTGGATCGTGTTATAATTGGCATATTGTCAAAGTGTCTAATTCTAATGTTTGGTAATATTTCTATTCAAAATCGCGATTCCTCAATTTCTAAAAAATAAAATCGTGGCAAAACAGTAAATTCAAATTAATCAATAAAATCGGAAAAATTGCCCAGCCCTAGCATAAGAGAGATATATATCTTATGCTGTGCACTGTGTGTGTGTGTGTATACACACACACACACACACAGTGCACAGCATAAATGAGTACACCCACTCTCAAACTTAACAAATTCAGCAATTACTCTTTACTTGGAAGACATGTTAGGGTTCTTTGGAGATGTAATGTTCCAACAAGCCTGCTTGATCAATTACCAAAGAAGAATGCCAAAATTATTCAGCAAAATAAGATTTTCTTAACAAAGTGATAAAATGTTGTTATTTTTGCTAGAAAAAGAGCATATTTCACTCAATCTTAATGCTCTTGAGCTGCTGTGAGAGATTCTGAGACGAGCTGAGCAATACCCCTCATTAAAGACCAGGGCATTTAAGGAGGTCGTCCTCCAGGAGTAAAACAGCACAGATGTGAAAATGTGTCATGAACTTGTACACTCCGTGCCAAGAAGGGTCCGAGCAGTATACTTCAAGTTCTGGAGGACATACTAAGTACTAGAATATTATACATTTTCTGAATTAAATCTAGGGTGTGCTCATTTCTGCAATCCTTCATTTAAACACAATTGGCTAATTTACTTCTCTTACAGAAAATATTGGCATATATTTTGTTGTTTTTATTAAGTATATGTTTAATGTTTCAATTTTGCCATCTTTCTATGAATTATATTAGTGACCATTAAGAAAATACATATTTTATATTTAATCAGAGGGGGTGTACTCCTTTATGCTGTGCACTGTAACAATGAAAATAAATATTATTAATATAGGGCTATTAACTTTATTTATCCCACAGGGGAAACTATTAATAATGAGGGGAATAAACTGAAGTATCATTGTAAACAACGGTCATCCATACGTATTCATTTTAATAATTCATATGATTTTACATGTAGTCTGCCTGAGAAAATCATGTCTATTATTTTGGTTTGTGAGATCGGAGATCGCGCTGCGCACACATACAAACACTCAGGAGGACACAAACTTGTTTTGAACCCTGCCCCGTGACTTTTATGAATAAAATAGCTTAGATACTGAATTGATACATATTCATCAGCAAGGAGAGGGTAAAATCACTGTTTACGTAAACTCACATGTTTGCCCCACTGTGTGTGTGTGTGTGTGTGTGTGTGTGTGTGTCTATATATATATTTTTTTTTATTTATTTTAGGGGTGTAACGGTACACAAACATGATGGTTTGGTACGTACCTCGGTTTTGACGTCACGGTTCGGTATGGTTTCGGGACAGCAGGGGGGAAAAAATAAACATAAATTGTTGTTGTTGTTTTTTTTTTATGAAACAATGTTTCCTGAACAAATTGCTCTTTCTTTAAATAAATTCAATTATAATTAATTTTTTCTGTAAATCTACCTCAAAATAATTTTTAAAATCTATAAAAATCTACCTCAGCTTCTGCTCTGAACTATAGAGAGCCCTTTTACATTACTATTAAGGTTCCAATTAACAACAGAGCCCAAACTTAAATTCAATTACTATTTATTTCTAACTATAATAATCAACACTCAAAAAAAATAAAAATTGTATGCAAACATGTAAACTGCACTCAATGCTGTTTTTAAATTAACTTCTAAATTATACCATTTCTATTTGTTGTATGAGCAATATCACTCGAGTACGAGAGCGATTCCGGCTCTATATCAGCGGCCGGAGGCAATCACAGCCGCTGATATAGAGCCGGTATCGCTCGAGTACGAGAGTTATATTGCGTTTATACAACAGTTCGACAGAACATGTGTGTAATTAAACAAGAAACAACGGAGTGCCTAATAAAACCCTCTTTTGTGTGGAACTACTTCCTTCCGCCACGGATTCAAAGCTCAAGTTGACAGTTAAACATAATAATCTTTTTTTTCTCTCTTTGCATTACAGTAATTTCAAGATATAAAACGTAATCATCCAGCAAATAGACATTTCTAATTTTAAAAACAGATTTTTACGGCAACGTCTCTTCAGATAAAGATTGTTTTAAAGAGCGTAACGTTGGTCCAGTTTATGAAATCCTACAGTGAAAAACTCAATTCATTTTGTATTTCCTTTTTTTCCAGGGGAACCGGAAGGGTAAAAAAGCATCAGACGGGGGCGACGTATGAAGATGCATGTTAGAGGACAGACGGCTTGAATGTTTCAGCTCCTTTGTCAAGCTGCTAATGTCTTTTAATATCTGTTCGAAACACCACGCACTCTCTTAACCAAACTACCACCGTCACTCACACGCTCCTGCTTATTACTGCATAGTTCTGTTAGCCTGATCACAGTGAACAGAAGATCGGCTTCTGCTCTGTAGAATAAATCCACTTCTGTTCTCTGCACTGTGAATCAAAGGCATACAATCCTGAGTTCTTTTCAATAAACATGCTAATCTACTTTTTCAAAGTGTGCTGGTTGTTTATGCTTGAAACTAACTGTTATTTCATTCTTACCAAGTATTATGTTTTTAGGTAATGAATGTATTGACAGTGTTCAGTCCATTTACTTCACTCAATAAGTCCATAATACTTCGAGCAGGATGTACTTGAGAACAAAAGCACTGATTAAATTTAGAGGTTATGCTTGAAGTTGACCCGTTTTATCACTTTACATCTGATCTAATTACATTTTACACTTCATGTCTCATGCAGTCTAGGGATTACAATTTTAAAGGCACACTGAAGGTACAATGTATTTTTGTAATTCATTTGTTAATGCTTTTTAAATGTCTTAATGGAGGTTAAATATACATGAATAATATGCTTTAAGTAAAACTCTTCTGTTAAAGGAATAACTGGCAGTTACAACAGTTGTAACAACAATAAAATTGTTAATGTTAACTATAAAAACGATAGATCGCAAAGCCAGATTCTGAAAGATTCTGCATGATAAATTATATTTATATGTATCCTTTTTAATATTTTTGTTAACTTTTAAAATAATGTTACTATAATACTATTTTTTATTACTTTAAAAAAAATTATATTTCACTTTTTTTAATCAGAAATATATTTATACGTGTACATATGCTATATGAATATTTTAAAATGTAAAAATAATTTAAAAAAATTGATGTCCAATATACTAGACGTTTGGATGCATTACACACGTTAGCCTAAAAAAGGACCTTAGAAAGCTTCTTAAGAATATTGCATTCGTGTTTCTCACAGTTTACTTGTGTAGTGTGTAATATCAGGAAATGTGTCTGCAGGTTACATCGCTGCACCAGTAGGTGGCGACAAGTCTTAAGGAATCTTTATGAATGATTCCTTGAATTATTCATTTAACACATTCTTCCCATTTTACCTACAAATTCGGACACTGGCATTGTCTAAAAATCAGAAATGATCAGGATTCATTGACAAGAATTTTAAAACCCTTTCAAATACGTTTAAGTCGTATTTATCATAAACATTTCCATGACATTTTCAGATCTATTTATTTTGATGCTTGTTATTTTAGGTCTAAAAATCACACTTAAAAATGCAGGTGTTCTGATCGTTTATCATTAGGCTATTAGTTTTTATTATTTATTTAATATGCAGCAACATTCTAAACATTCCTATATTTTGCAACAAAACTAAGCATACTACTTCACATTATATTTCATTATACCACCGTGAAAACAAACAAATAAATAAATAAACACTTTACTTTAAAAGCTCAATCCCGTTTTAATTTATTATGGTATTGCTGTAGCACAAATAGTAGTTGTAACTATTGACTGGCAGAAACCGTACACTCTAAAAAATGCTGGGTTAAATACAACCCAGTGCTGGGTAAAATAGGGACAAACCCAGCAATCGAGTTGTTTTGACCCAGCGGTTGGGTTACTACCCAGAAGGTTGGGTTAAACATTTAACCCAACCGCTGGGTCAAAACAGCCCAATTGCTGGGTTTGTCCCTATTTTACCCAGCACTGGGTTGTGTTTAACCCAGCATTTTTTAGAGCGTGCAAGTGTCCGAAAACATTAGTTCACACTTAAGTATTTCAGTAATAACTCTTTTTGCTAAAGTATGCTAAAGTCTACTTCTCGTTCACATATGCATGGCACAAACTTAAGTTTAACAAAAACGACTTTATACACTGTACACTCTAAAAAAAATGCTGGGTTAAATACAACCCAGTGCTGGGTAAAATAGGGACAAACCCAGCAATTGTGTTGTTTTGACCCAAGTGCTGGGTAAAATAGGGACAAACCCAGCAATTGTGTTGTTTTGACCCAAGTGCTGGGTAAAATAGGGACAAACCCAGCGGTTGGGTTACTACCCAGAAGGTTGGGTTAAACGTTTAACACAATCGCTGGGTCAAAACAACACAATTGCTGGGTTTGTCCCTATTTTACCCAGCACTGGGTTGTATTTAACCCAGCATTTTTTAGAGTATACTGTAACTCGCGTTGTGTGTAGACGCTCATTCCAGGTGAAGCTGCTGATATATCGCTGAAGGGATTGAACTGATGGAGGGATGGAGGAAGGGAGGGAGCTCAGGAGGGAGGGGAGAGAAGCGAAAAGGGGGATCGTTCTCCCGATCACATAACGCGACATCTCTCTTTCCTCCTCTCCGCTGGCGACATAAGCGACGCGCAACCGACACCCCGTCCTCCTCTCCCGGACCAAAGGAGCTTTGTTGCTTTGCGATGCGGGACCCAGAGCCATGAAAATGCTTCGGTTCCGGAGTCCGAGCATCTCCTCCCTCGCGCAGGAGGTCCGGTGCACGGTTCGCCTGCTCGACGACTCCGAGATCGCGTGCAGCATCCAGGTAAGCGCGCGCTCAGTTCTGTATTGCGATTCATTGACATGACGCTTGTTATTAATGCATCGCGTTAAACGGGCAGACTGGCCTCTTTGAGGTTTGTTTAGGTGGAAGACGTCTAGGGAGTGAATACGCTTTCGTCGGGGTTTGCCTGTTAAACAGTTACGCCCTTGACTTTCTTTGTACACAAACAAGATTCATGCACAAACTGCGTTTCGTTGATAAATAACAGAATTGCGCAAAATGGAACTGGCGAAAGAAAGCCTGTTGGCCGTTTTAACGCGGTGTAATTTAATTTGCGGTGTTTTGGGGAGCGGAGAACATGATGTAAGGCAGCACGCACACTCTTAAAAATAAAGGTGTTTCACGAAGAACCCTTTTTGTTGTCTAAATGGTTCAAGAACCTTTAACACCTTGAAGAACCTTTCGGTTTCACAAAAGCTTCTTTGTGGCGAAAGAAGGTTCCTCAGATTCTAAAAAGGTAAGAAAGAGATGGTTCTGAATGGTTCTTTGTGGAACCAAACATGTTTCTTCTATGGCCTCGCTGTTTTTTTTTTTTAAAGATTTATTTTTGGCATTTTTATTTTGATAGGACAGTATAGCAGTGACAGGAAGAGAGAGAGAGCGCGGCGGGATCGGGAAAGGTCCACGAGCCAGGACTCGAACTCGGGACGCCCGGAGCGCAACGGCACGATATGTCAGGGCACTGGCCACTATTGGCGCCGTGAAAAAGCGTTTTAAGCACCTTTATTTTTAAGACTGTAAAGCCTCCATGTGTCTCATGCGCTGATTTCTCTTCTTTCTTTTCCAAGTGATGAAAGATTGCTGAGAAAGTCTGTGACGGACAACAGTTTGCTGTGGGAACTGTCCGTTTCATTTGTAAAGTCAAGCCACTTTAGTTTATATCAAGCAACAGTGTTTCAAAGCCGTTTTAACCCTTGTGAAAAAGAAGTAGCTACACTTAAGCATAATTTTAATTCTAATTATGGGAATAATAGGTACAGTACGATTTAAAGAAATATACTTAAGTGATATTCTTAACTGTTTTCGGACAATTAATTGAATGTTATTTAAAATTATATGATATATATATATATATATATATATATACATTTAATGTTAAATACAATTAGTTGAACAACGTTTTTTACTCACTTAAGTAGGACTTTAGCACGTCTTGTAATTCAGTAATTAGTTCTATTGTCTTTGAAATATGGTTAAAGTGTGCTGCTGCATTTATAAACTAAAATATTCTTTAATGTTGTTTTTGTTGAAACTTGTCATGCATTTAAATATATTTGTAATTACTCATTTGTAATGATGAAGTGGCAGTTTAGTACATTTCATATATATGAACTTAAAATATCAAATAGCACTACAGTTAAAATGATGATCAAGTACTCTACATGTGATTTAGTATAGCCTTGTCCAAATACCCACACTTGCGGTCTTTGCACTTGACTACTTATATGACGTATTTCCTGTATTTGGGCCAAGTGTTCAAGTGAGCATGAAGACCACAAGTGTGTGTCGAACTTTTCATTACCTGATGGGGACACACTTGTAGTGTTGTAAAAATGCAAGTGTTTACATAGCTTTATTTGAATTTTAAATACTTTGCATTTTAAAATAAACTTCTAAATGTCTGTTCAGTAGTCCCTATAACATGACAATTTTAATTTGTGGTGCTTCTAATTAAGTGATAAAAAGCAGTTGCAAATGTTGTACAAAATAATTATCACCACTACTCATCTTTGCACCAATAAAACGTAAAAACAGTGTTTTCTACCAAATTATATGTAATATCTCATTATTATATTAATATTTAACTTGCATCGGAAAGGTTTCCGTGACCTCTCGCCAGATCTCGGCAAAAAGTCTCACGATTTATTTCCAGAACATGATGCATGATGGGATACACTAAGCCTCGAATAGCACTCCGGAGCGGTATTCGAGATAGTGTGGATTTAGTATGCTTTAAGGGCACTCTGGCGTTTTTAAGACCTGGGACAGTCTTGCGCACTTACTTAGTGTCGCACGCACGCACTCTCAAGTGGCCAAGACCACAAAGTGTCAGTGGTTTGTTTAGTTAGGAGTTGAAGGTGATTGGGCTCTCGGGCGAGATCCCAATTCGTCAGTCACTGACGTAACGTCTCCGTTCCCTCCTTCAGGGAACGAGGGTTACACAAGTAACCTAGACGTTACCACTTGTAGTACACTAAATACATTTTCTTAATACAGTTTTAATTCTAAAATATATTTTTTAGTATATCAAGTACAAAATTAGTGCGTGACAAAATAGCACTTTAAGTACATTTTGTAAGTGCACTTTTTTTCACCTGGGCATATCGTATGAAAATGTATGAAAATAATAGTGAAAAGTGTGTCAGTCTGTGCATTAGAGGGAATGTTTAAGTAACTTTTAACCACTTCTGGGTAGATTCTGATTCCAAATTATAAGACAAAAATTGTAGTCAGTAACGTAATCCATGACATTACACATTTTAGGTAATATAATCAGATTACTTTTAGATTACATTTGACTTTACACGTTCATCACATTGATTTAAATAGGATAATCTTGCACCATATCGATACAAAAATACAAAGAGAAAAATAATATATTCTATTCATTATTATTAACAACATGAAGTGCATGAAACTAGGGCTGTAGCTATCGATTATTTTAGTAATCGAGTATTCTACAGATTATTCCATCGATTAATCGAGTAAACGGATAAGAAGAAATTTGTCTTTATTAAAGAGCAATACTAAATATACAAGAAATAATAAGATAGATCTCTTAAAATAAACAAATCATTTGTTTTCTTTTCAGAAAAATTAACATTTTTATTGCTGAAATTGCGTACATTAATAACCGTGAAAACTAAACCCATTTAATGCATTTAATTGCCAAATTGCATTCAAATATATCAATAAAATAAATAAAATTAAAATTAAACAAAAATCAATTTCACGTTACTTTAAAAAAGGTAAACAGTACAAACTAAAACTAAGGCATAAATCAAAATAATAGTAATCAAAATAATAATAATACCTAAACATTGCATTTATGTCGTGCAAATTAACTTTCAAGTTTCAGCCTAACTAAAGCTCAAGCATGACATGAGCCTTTACTGTCTTCTTGGAAGGCTTTGTGGCTTTTGTGAGAGGCAAAACTCAGTGGACAGGAAGGTAACTTGGAACAAGAAGACCATACACAGTCTCTTAACCCATTTTTCTGCAACATGAAATTAGAGTTATTTAAGCACTGTGGCTGTGTTTGACTTTTTTTTTTTTGGCAAAATAAAGCAAAAACAGGCAATATAGTGTCTAAAACGTAAGTCTCTTAATATTACCTTCTTGTTTATTGAACTGTTGAATAAAATCACATTTGTAATCATGCTGATTTTAGAGTTGAAACCTGGCACTCTGTGTGATATTGACTAACTTTTTTTCTGTGGTATTTTTATGCACAATGGCGCTTAGTCTTTCACAAATGTAGGGACATCATAACTAAAATATTGATTTACGATCTTAAATATGTCCAGCACTTTTTTTACAGTCTATGGTCCAGCGTTTATCGGGTTGTGCGTCAGTAATAATGGTCCGTGAGGAAACACGTGTTCCGTGTGTAGTTACAGTAAATGGACTAAACGAAGCCTCGAGGACAATAATATGCCTCAATGTTTTTTTGTATTCGAGTTACTCGAGGTATTCGAGGAATCGTTTCAGCCCTACATGAAACATTGCATTATGTCAAGGTTTGTGAAGGAACTGCAGGGGGTTCGTGAGTTTAATGGAAAAAAAAGAAGAATTAGGGAGAATCAATAAATTATGAATACTTTATTGCTATTGTGTGAATAATATGTAATCATGCAATGAATAAAAAAGTAACTGTAGTCTGATTATGAGTGTAAATCAGTTACTACCCAGCACTGCTTTTTGCACATTTCACCGATACACTCTCTTTATGAGTGAGTCATTGAATTAGTCGCTCAACTGATACTTTCATTACACTGATTCATTTAGGAATGAAACGCCGCTTCTCATTGTTCTGAGATATGTGACCATCAGTTTTGTTTTGTCTTTGTTTTGAACAACTTTTGTTGGCAAAAATAGATGAAATAAAATTAAAATATCTCAATATTAACTTCTTGTTTATTAACCTCTTAACTGTCAACCCCCCCCCCCGTTTTTACAAAAAAGGTGAAATTACAATATTC